GCCTGAAATAACAACACACAAACTGTATTCATTTAAGAACTGCTTGGCCCATGAACTCTAGCCCTTACAGGCTAATCTCGCACCTGGACTAGCCCATTTCTAATGATGTGTGTAAGCACCCCAAGGTGCTCTTACCGGGAAGAGTCTAGCCTCTGTCCATCCTGGTGTCTCTGCTCCAGAAAGCAGCTGTTGGGTCTCTCCGGGAGCAGAGCAGAGTCTGACCTCACTTCCTCTTCCGCCCAGAATTCTATTCTGTTTCCTCCTCCCATCTATCTTTTAACCTATCAGGGCCAAGGAGTTCCTTTATTGCTTAACCAATGAAATCAACAGATTGATATATGACATTCCCACATCATTTTCCAACAGTTGGACACATGGACCCCTAAGGAGAATATAGTCCCCATCTAAAATTGTTTGCAGAAATACAAATACAATCCACGAATAAATTATATTTCCATAGACTTCCATCACCAGAATTAAGAACAAGAACTCTGGACTAGCTAGCTCACATGTAAATATGCAGTCAAGCCCAGCATATAGTGGTGAGCAGTGCAAATCAACGACATGCATAATCATGTAGACCCAGTGCTGGCCCAGGGCATGCCCTTAAGGGGCTCTGCCATCCTTCTTCCCCTCCCGCACTGTACCAGATTTCCTCTTTCTACGTTCTTTGATTCCAAAAAGAATCGCCATGTAGTGCTGTCCACAGCTATTATCTTAGCTGACCCTGGTGCAGCTCGGCCGCAGAAACACCTTTTCTTAATAACTTACTTCATGGCTCCAAAGGGTTGGGTTCAGCTCAGGACAGCTTCCCTGTTCTGTTAATTAAACCTTGAGACACTGAAATTGGCTAAAGGGAAATGACTGAATAGAGTCATTTCTTACTCCCCATACTTCCTAGTGCACACCAATAAAAAAATAAAAATTAGCTAGGCAGTGGTGGCGCACGCCTTTGATCCCAGCACTCAGCACTCAGAGACAGAGGCAGGTGGATCTCTATGAGTTCAAGGCCAGTCTGGTCTACAGAGCAAGTTCCAGGACTCCAGGACAGCCAGGCTACACAGGGAAATCCTGTGTCCAAAAACCAAACAATAAATTAAATTAACATTCATTTTGTAATTTCAAAAAGTTGTTTAACATGTAAGCTGGAGGGATAGCTCAGTGAGGAAGAGTGTTTGCTGCCCTTCCAGAGAACCTGAGCTCAGTTCCCCACACCCATGTTGAGATGCTCACAACCACACATAACTCCATGTCCTAGTGACCCAGTACCCTCTTCTGGCCCCCATGGGTGCCGAGCCACACACACACACAGATAGGTGAATAAAAGTAAGTCTTTTTGAAAAAAGAATTTAACACAATTTTCATTTTCTGTTTGACAGGTCGTTCCATATTTTGGAGTTATGTTTAGCATGTTTGAATTCTGTAAAAGAATTTTTCTTTATCAAAATGGTTACATCCTGTCCCCACTGACCTACAAACTGACCCCAGGGGTGGACCAAAGTTTGCAGCCCCAGGAGTTGCGGGAACTAAAGAAGTTCTTCAAGCCCAGAAAACTGGAATCTAAGAAACCAACTCTGTAGAGCTGAATGGACGGCGTGCAGCAGTCGCAAGTGACTACGCCCTCCTCCTAACTGTGCACATCAGGAGGAATGAGAGGGTCCTTCTGCCTGCTGCTCTTGGAGATGTGACCACGAGGCCATACATCACATCAGAACCCCAAATTTTCCCTGTGAATACCTGTGCCTTGAGAAGCTTTTGTGACACTGCTCTGTCACATGGCGCTCCACCAGACTGTACGGAAGCCTAGTGGCAATCAGATGTGCAGGATATGGCATCTTGCAGCTGAAGAAGCAGAGCAGAGACCATGTCACAAGCCCAGTCCCCAGAGTCCAGGTGAAGTAATCCAAGTTTCTCTAACTGTGACCTGTGGCTTCCCCATATAGACATCCTTAAACTTAGATCTTTGTGGGCTTTTGAGAGCACAAACCACCATGTAGGTTAGGCCTTAGCAAAAATCCTAAATGAAAAGTTTTTGGTGTTTTTTTTTTTTTTTCAAATGATCTTGCTATGAAGTGCAGGCTGCCCTCATTCATGATCTTCCTGCCTAGACTCCCAGACACCTGAGATTTCAGGTGTACACTGCAATGCTCATCCTTGGAACCTTAATTCTTTTTTTTTTAAGATTTATTTATTAAGCATACAATGTACTGCAGGCCAGAAGAGGGCACCAGGTCTCATTACAGATGGTTGTGAGCCACCATATGGTTGCTAGGAATTGAACTCAAGACCTCTGGAAGAGCAGCCAGTGCTCTTACCCTCTGAGCCATCTCTCCAGCCCCGGAACCCTTATTCTTTATTGAAAACTCAAGAACCCCAAGCCTAGAAGCTTCTATTTCAAGAAGCCAGTTTTCCCCGTGACTTCTTAAGGATGCACTGACATTCCTGACTGACGTCATGCACAGTTCCAGCAGCCTTAATTATCTGCCTTTTTAACTTCTTTTGTAAGCCGACCCTGAAAACAAATTATTCAATCATTTTCTGTTATTCTCACAAGATGTCCTAACTGGCTAGAAAGGACAGATAGAACATATGACACACATACTCCTCCAAAATGGCATAAAATAAAAATCTTTTAGGCTAATCACCCATTGGAGAAACTTTTGCTTGTTTGTTTTTTGTTTGTTTTAATGTAATCAAATGAGGATTCCATGTAAAATTCATATAGCTATACTATACTTTCCAAATAGTACCAATCATGTATTTTAAACACATTAATATGTTAACACGATGTGCTGTGCCCACTGCAGTCATAGCCCTTGGGAGGCTAAGGCAAGAAGATCATGAGTTCAAGATCAGCCTTAGCTACGTAGGTAAGTTCAAGTTCTTCTTGTGCGTAGTAAAATCTTATCTTAGGAAACAATAAGTAAATAAATAAATGTATTTCTGACATGAATTCATGTATGTTTTCTGTTCCTTCCCTGCCATATACATGAAGGTTTTCAGAATTTTGAAAGTATTTTTCCATATTAAACTTATTTTCTAAAGGAAAAAAATGTGACTGGAGAGTTGGCTCAGCAGTTAAGAGCACTTGTTGCTTCGCAGAGGACCCGAATTCAATTCCCTACACCTACCTGCACGGTGGCTCACAGCCATCTGTAACTACAGCCCCAGGGGATCTAACACCCTCTTCTGAACTCCACAAGCACCAGACATGCACATGGTGCACATTCATACATGCAGAAAAACACCCACATACAGAAATAACTCTGAAATTTTTTCTTTAATTTTTTAAAAGGGAAAAAAATCAGTTACTTATTCCTAATCAAAGTTATAAAATTATGGTTAAGTTCTCAGACCTTTGTCGTATTTAAATATACAAAATAACTCATTTTTTCCCACCTCTGCAGCAGTCTGTTTTACTGAGGATGAAGCTGACATGTGTAGCCTGATCTGTTAGTATTTGCGGGGAGGCAAATACTGCATCCTGTCAATAATCCACGTTTGCTTATTGTTATTTTCTTTAAAGCAACAAAACAAACTTTCAGAAAATGTTGAATTCTATAAGTGTGTTTTTGACAAGAGTTACCATCTAGCCTCAGATTGTTCTCATCTTAGTGTTTCTTCCGTGCAGTCTTCCGCAAATGTCACATAAATGCTACTTGGCACAGAGATATTCTGTGAGCGGAGGGGGACGTTGTTGTTTTGATTTGGCTTGGTTTTTAAGAGTTACTCATAGTTATGTGTGTGATGGAGTGAAGGGGTGTGTGTGTGAGCGCAGGTGCTGTAGAGGCCCAGATCCCTGGGGTCTGGACTTCCAGGTGGTTGTATGCTGCTGGCCATGGTTGCTGGGAACCAGATTCAGGTCCTCTTCTAGATCAGTATGTGCTCTTACTAGTTGAGCCATCTCTCCAGCCTCACTGAATTGTGATTTTTTTTTCAATAGAATCAAGAATATGTCTCATTTTCCTGTAGTTTCAGAACAACTCCTTAAAATTCTAGTTCTGTTTCTAAAATGAACTTAGAGCTATTTTTACTTCCTTAGAGGTGAAACAAGATGTTCTGCCTTCCTAACTTCTGGTTGCCAGTGTGTACCTCCCAGCACTAAGAACCTCAGAAGAATCATAAAGAAGTGCGGTGTGCTAGTCACCCAGGAAGAACTTAAGAAGAAAACATACCTGCACCCAGGAATGTCTAGGGCTACAGAGCAAAGCCAAGCACAGCATGACAGAGTGGCATCTCCTACCAACAGGGCGGCCATGGGGCTAGTAATGAGTAGGGGCTCTGAGGTAATGAGTCTTGAATTAGGCTTAGGTTGTTTGGGTTTTGTTAACAGGAGAATTCCACTTGTTTTATACTGTGCCTGGTTTTGAACGGATTTGTTTTTTGTAAACTTTCATTTTATTGCTATTTTATTTTCTTTTTCACAGGAGTTGTTCTGAGACAGGATTTCACTCTGCAGTCCATTTGGGCAGGGATGAAACTGTGTATTCCAGGGTGGCCTCAAACTCATGACAATCCTCTTGCCATAGCCTGGTGACTGCTGGAATTAAAGGTATGGGGCCACATAGCCTGCTAGGTTTTGATACTTTAAAGTATCTCACTGTGTAGCCCAGGCTGGCTTTGAACTCATAATCGACCTTACTTAGGTTCCTGTAATAGATAAAATTACAGGTTTCCCCTTACATGCCTGGCTCTGAACTCCGTTTTGAAGAAAGGACTATAGTAATTTGAATGGATATGTCCTCTATTAGGTGCATATACTTGGATACTCGGTTGACACTAATTTTAGTGATATTTCATTTGTATTTTAATAAATGAAGTTTGCCTGAAGATCAGCGAGTACACCCACACTGGTCAGCCACACAGACCAGGCAGTGGTGGCACACACCTTTAATCGCAGTAGCCTCCTGAGTGCTGGGATTAAAGGCGTGTGCCACCACCGCCCGGCTTCCCAGAACCTTTTAATGTATTCCCCTACACAACAAAATAAACTTGGGAGTTGGGCTTATTTTGTTTTATTTTGTTTTTTTGAGGCAGGGCCTTCCTATTCTAGCCCATACCAACCCTCGTGCCTCAGCTTCTCAAGTAGTGTGATTACAGGCATCATTCCCTGAGACAAAAAGATCTTGAACAAGTGACTACAGTTATAGCAGTGAGACAGACAGTTCTGGCTTGTCTGGGTGTTCCCAGTCTCTTCGGAGTCCTCAAAAACTGAGGAGATGGACTCAGCGTGTAGGGAGGAAGCTAGAAATGCAAGAACAAGAGAGACATGACAAGGACTAACTCTGAACACAAAGGTGCCCAGGAGCCAAAGAACAGGGATGGCTTCAAGAAGTTAAGAATGACCCTCAGCTGACAGCCAGTAGGGAAACAAGAACCTCAGTCCTAGAAGCAAAGAGGGCTAAAATTTGTCAGTAACTTTAATGAGCTACAAAATGGGTTTTCCCCTAGAGATGTGCATCAGAGTAGTGACTTCCAGAACTGTAGCATAGAAAGTCTGCATTGTTTAGCCCACTGTGCCTGTGGCAAGTCATTACAACAGCAACAGGAAACTAACAGAACTCTAATGATATTTGTTTTAAGATAAAAGGGACAGATCAAAAGTTCAGAGAAGAAGGATGGTGAAAGACAGAAACTTGCTTGTTGGCAACAAACAAAGGGCATTTAAAACAGAGATGGCCTGGCTCTGGTGGCAGACACCTTTAATCCATCACTCCAGAGGCAGAGGCAAGCAAATCTCTGAGTTCAAGGCCAGCCTGGTCTTCAGGGCAGTTCCAGGACAGCCAAGGACTGCACCAGGCACACTTTTAAATACCCGCCCCCTCAGGCACTCAGGAGGTAGAGGCAAGAGGATCTCTGTGAGTTCGAGGCCAGCCTGGTCTACAAGCGCTAGTTCCAGGACAGGCTCCAAAACCACACAGAGAAACCCTGTCTTGAAAAACGAAAAGAGAGGGTGAGGGAGGGGATGGAGATTTGGCTCAATGGTTAAAAACACTAGCTGCTCTTTGAGAGTACACAGGTTCAGGTTCAGCTCCCAGCACCCATGTGGTGGCTCACAACCATCTATACCTCAGGTTCCGGGGATCTGATGACTTCTGGCCTCTCCAGGTACCAGGCATGCATATAGGGCACAGACACACATGCAAGTGAAATACTCAAACATTTAAGATAATTTAATTTAAAAATTAAAACAGGGGGATCAAACAAGACCACTAAAAGACGAGACAGGAAGGAACTCCTGGAGTGGGAAAGAAGCAAGAAATGAAACTGAGAAGGCAGAAGCTGAAGATATGGAGAAAATGAAATTTATGTGCCCTGCTATTAGGGATATATAATGCACGGTGCAGTAACTCTAAGGGGGAAGGTTTAAGATGAGAAGGAAGAGAGGGAGGAAGGGAGGGAGGGAGGGAGGGAGGGAACCTATTCTTAAAATAAGCAAAAAGCAGAAATGACCCAAATATTTACCAACTGATAATATGCCAAGAGAAGCCAGGGCAAAGGAAAGCATATATGCTGCATGGTTCCATTTATTCAAAATTCTAGGGACTGTAATCTAAGCTAAAGTGACAGTATGCTGAAAACTGTTCGCTTGGACGGAGGGGCTACCAAGGGACACGTGAAAAATTTTAGTAATGGATCAGTTCACTGTGTTAACTGCTGGGGTTTCTTAAAGTGTACACATAAGCAAAAATATTATCAAATTGTGCCCTTCAAATATGCACATTTTTAATGGGTATAATGGCCCAAGCCTGGAATCGCAGTACTTGGGAGGCTGAAGCAGGAGAGTCAGGAGTGCGAGGCAAGCCTGAGCTACCTAGTAAGATCCTGTCTCAATGACAAACAGAGGTTGGGAAGCCGCAGCTCACTGTTTGCCTTGTAGGCAGAACGCCGTAGGCTTGAGCCAACCCGCAAGAAAAGAAGGTGCAGTTCCACTGTTTGACAGCAGCACAGCAGTAAAACTTGCCCGCTTTGTTTGATTTGCTTAATCTGGAGCAGTCACCCATGGTTGAAATCCATGAAATGCTTGTTCAGCCTCCCAGAAATCAAAATCTACTGGGGTAGAAGGAGAAAAAGAAAACAAGGGATTCAAATGCTAATCTGAGTTTAGGTTTCATCCAATAAGCAAAGGGGAGTCAGGAGATTTAGGAGCAGCATATGTGATATTAAAAAAAAATACTATACAAGCCAGGCATAGTGGCACATGCCAGTAATCCCAGGTGGGGGCAGGAGGATCAGGAGTTCAAAGCCAACCTCGGCTATATAGTAAGTTCCAGGCCAGCCTAGGCTACATGAAATGCTGTTTCAAAATAATAATAATAAATGAGCAAAACTAGGCAAAAAGCAAGAATATTCTAGAAGGTCATATGCCAACTAACTAGGCAGAAGGAGATTCTTCCTCAGTAATGACACTGCAAACATAACAGTGACAGTCACTCCCACTGGCAATGTGACCAGCTCTGAAAATGAACAGCATCTTTTCTGGGTGCCAACTAGCAATTCAAATCCTAGCTATGTGATCTTACACATTATTACTAACTGGACTAAATACATCACCAGTACCTTGGTTAAGCAAAGTTGGAATGTTTGCTAAAATTCCAACTTGGAGGGCTAAGGGTATAGCTCTGTGATGCCGTGTTTGCCTAGCATGCCCAGGGTTTGGGTTCCATCATCAGCAATCAAACAATATTTTCAGGGTTTCTCTGTAACTTTGGAGCATGTCCGGGAACTAGCTCTTATAGACCAGGCTGGCCTTGAACTCACAGAGATCCACGTGCCTCTGCCTCCCGAGTGCTGGGATTAAAGGCGTGAGCCATCACCTCCGGCCTCATTCATATTTTAGAAAGCAATTTCTTTCCATATTTCAATTAATTTTAGTGTGCAAAAGTAATGGATTTCTTCTTTTCCTTTTGTTTGCCTCAAACTATGTGGGCTAGGCTACCATTGAACATCTGATCCTGCCTTTACAATTTAAGTGCTGGGATGACAGGCATATATCATCAGTCTAGCTCGGGCAGTGTTGAAATCTAAACCCAGGCTTTTGTGCATGCTAAACCAGTACCCTTCCAATTGAACTACATCCCCCAGACACATAAAACAATGAGTGTTGGGTCCCCTGGGACTGGAGCTACAGGTGATTGTGAGCCACCATGTGGGTGTTACGAACCAAACCTGGGTCCTCTGCAAGAGCAGCAAGTGCTCTTAAGTGCATTTAACTGCTGAAGCATTGAATACAGCACTCGCAGTCCTCTCTCGCACACGCTTCCATTAAAGCCTACCTCTGCACCCTTAAATGTCTTGCTCTAAATAGAATATTAGAATCCTTTATTATGGTCCATCCCTCTTTATAAGCCTGTGTCTATCCCTAACTTTGCCTTTTGTGAGTCAACTCCCAGAAGTCTACGGTATGTTGGTCTTTGTCCAACTGTGATCAGAAGAAAACAATCTATGTGGATATTGTATTTTCTCATCAGAACTTCTCAAAATTGTACAGATGTGAATTTTCTCTTTGGGCTCCTCTCCCTCATGAGTTGTCTTGCTCTTTCGGTATCTGACCAGGACAATCCATTATCTTTTCTCTAAAATCTACCTTCAGCACAGACGCACGCGTGTGCACACACTTTACCTAGCCTATGTGACCATGCTCTGTTTGTTTAGGAGAAACAGATGGCACAGTCGCGTTCTTCCAGATCCTTGCAGCTCACACCTTACGCAGCAGCTCTTCTTTGCTCATTGGCAGCCTAGCAACATGCCTCGTTGCTTCTCATTAGTATGAGAACTATTAGTAATCAGGGAACGGGCCAAGAATTTAGTAGGTGTGGGACCTTGTGAAGGCACTTGCTGCCAAGCCAGATCTGACTAACCACTGGGGCGAACATGGTGGAGGAAAGAGCCTTCAGCAAGCTGTCCTCTGAGCTCTACACACACATACATCATAGCACATACATGCCCACAAACATACGCACATACATATAATGAATAAATAAACGTAACAAAATTCTGAAAAGAACTTATCAGATATGTCGCTGTCTAAATAATGAAATGTCCTTCAAATATTTGGATGGCTTTGTCTGTTGTCGCAATGTCTTACCTCTGACAGCTAGCCATATGCAGTATTATTCATATATTTTTATCTAGCTGACCAGTGTCTTATACATATCCACAACTACATGTTTGTATCTCCCTTTCATTCTTTGGTTCTATTTTTGCAGCAGATTTTGGAGGTGGAGGGTCTCCCAGTATAGCCCATGGTGGCCTGAAGTTTACTATTTACCATAAGGTAGCCTGAAACTGCCATCTTCCTTCTTTGGCCTTCTGAATGCTGAGATTACATGGTATTGCCACCACCCCTGGGGGGGGGGGGGCTGTTTCTTAGTAGCTTTTTTCAAGAATTAATTTTAGCTGGATTCAGTGGCACACACTTCCAGAACTCGGAAGGCAGAGTCAGTTGGATCTCTCTGAGTTCAAGGCCAGCCTTATCTACATAGTGAGGACCCCTTAACAAAAGAACTTGTTTTATTACTTTGTGTGTGTGTGTGTGTGTGTGTGTGTGTGTGTGTATGCACATCATGTGTGAGAGTGAATAGAGGGACATACGTGCCATGGTGCACGTATAAAAGTCAGAGGATATCTTACTTGCCCTTGTTTAGTTACTTTTTTTAAATATTTATTCTGTCTGTGTGTACATCTGCAGGCGAGAAGAGGGCACCAGACCTCATCACAGATGGTTGTGAACCACCATGTGGTTGCCGGGAATTGAACTCAGGACCTTTGGAAGAGCAGGCAATGCTCTTAACCACTGAGCCGTCTCTCCAGCCCCTGTTTAGTTATTTTGAGACAGTTTCTCACTGTGCAGTCCCAGCGGGCTTCAGACTCCCAGGCTTACTGCCTCACCCTCCAGAGTGCTGGGACTCCAGGTACATACCCCAAGTCCAGCTTCCTCTTGATGACTGCTCTGCACATTCCAGCCACTAAATTACTAATGACTCCCTTCTTTATAAATCACTGTGCTTCACTTCCCTGTGGCATCTCTCAGCCAGGTTTCCCTTTCCTTGACCACGTCAGCCAGAAGCCCCATCCCACAGTGTCTGAACAATGCGTATAGTATTGTGTTTTCTGTTTGTATAAAGTTCATTTTATTACCCGCCTTCTAGGCATTGGTACATAGAAATCCAACGCGCTCGGTATTGCTTGAGCTTTTTCCTGTCTTCCTTCTTCAGAACTACTAGACAGTGCCTTAGCTTCAGTTCCTGTTTATCACACTTATGTTTTCCGTAACTGCCAGAGACACAACAGTCACTAACATGACCCCACCGTGTCTCACTGGAGAAGTGAATTTTTAATGAACTGACCAAATATAGATCGTCAATATACTCATCATCACTGATATTATTCTCTGTTCTCCTGACCTCTTGTTCCTGTTTTTTTTTTTNTATGTGGATATTGTATTTTCTCATCAGAACTTCTCAAAATTGTACAGATGTGAATTTTCTCTTTGGGCTCCTCTCCCTCATGAGTTGTCTTGCTCTTTCGGTATCTGACCAGGACAATCCATTATCTTTTCTCTAAAATCTACCTTCAGCACAGACGCACGCGTGTGCACACACTTTACCTAGCCTATGTGACCATGCTCTGTTTGTTTAGGAGAAACAGATGGCACAGTCGCGTTCTTCCAGATCCTTGCAGCTCACACCTTACGCAGCAGCTCTTCTTTGCTCATTGGCAGCCTAGCAACATGCCTCGTTGCTTCTCATTAGTATGAGAACTATTAGTAATCAGGGAACGGGCCAAGAATTTAGTAGGTGTGGGACCTTGTGAAGGCACTTGCTGCCAAGCCAGATCTGACTAACCACTGGGGCGAACATGGTGGAGGAAAGAGCCTTCAGCAAGCTGTCCTCTGAGCTCTACACACACATACATCATAGCACATACATGCCCACAAACATACGCACATACATATAATGAATAAATAAACGTAACAAAATTCTGAAAAGAACTTATCAGATATGTCGCTGTCTAAATAATGAAATGTCCTTCAAATATTTGGATGGCTTTGTCTGTTGTCGCAATGTCTTACCTCTGACAGCTAGCCATATGCAGTATTATTCATATATTTTTATCTAGCTGACCAGTGTCTTATACATATCCACAACTACATGTTTGTATCTCCCTTTCATTCTTTGGTTCTATTTTTGCAGCAGATTTTGGAGGTGGAGGGTCTCCCAGTATAGCCCATGGTGGCCTGAAGTTTACTATTTACCATAAGGTAGCCTGAAACTGCCATCTTCCTTCTTTGGCCTTCTGAATGCTGAGATTACATGGTATTGCCACCACCCCTGGGGGGGGGGGGGCTGTTTCTTAGTAGCTTTTTTCAAGAATTAATTTTAGCTGGATTCAGTGGCACACACTTCCAGAACTCGGAAGGCAGAGTCAGTTGGATCTCTCTGAGTTCAAGGCCAGCCTTATCTACATAGTGAGGACCCCTTAACAAAAGAACTTGTTTTATTACTTTGTGTGTGTGTGTGTGTGTGTGTGTGTGTGTGTGTATGCACATCATGTGTGAGAGTGAATAGAGGGACATACGTGCCATGGTGCACGTATAAAAGTCAGAGGATATCTTACTTGCCCTTGTTTAGTTACTTTTTTTAAATATTTATTCTGTCTGTGTGTACATCTGCAGGCGAGAAGAGGGCACCAGACCTCATCACAGATGGTTGTGAACCACCATGTGGTTGCCGGGAATTGAACTCAGGACCTTTGGAAGAGCAGGCAATGCTCTTAACCACTGAGCCGTCTCTCCAGCCCCTGTTTAGTTATTTTGAGACAGTTTCTCACTGTGCAGTCCCAGCGGGCTTCAGACTCCCAGGCTTACTGCCTCACCCTCCAGAGTGCTGGGACTCCAGGTACATACCCCAAGTCCAGCTTCCTCTTGATGACTGCTCTGCACATTCCAGCCACTAAATTACTAATGACTCCCTTCTTTATAAATCACTGTGCTTCACTTCCCTGTGGCATCTCTCAGCCAGGTTTCCCTTTCCTTGACCACGTCAGCCAGAAGCCCCATCCCACAGTGTCTGAACAATGCGTATAGTATTGTGTTTTCTGTTTGTATAAAGTTCATTTTATTACCCGCCTTCTAGGCATTGGTACATAGAAATCCAACGCGCTCGGTATTGCTTGAGCTTTTTCCTGTCTTCCTTCTTCAGAACTACTAGACAGTGCCTTAGCTTCAGTTCATGTTTATCACACTTATGTTTTCCGTAACTGCCAGAGACACAACAGTCACTAACATGACCCCACCGTGTCTCACTGGAGAAGTGAATTTTTAATGAACTGACCAAATATAGATCGTCAATATACTCATCATCACTGATATTATTCTCTGTTCTCCTGACCTCTTGTTCCTGTTTTTTTTTTTTTTCTTTTGATAATTTTTAACTTTCTGACTTAGAAAAAATGTTGCAGTCTGGGTCGTAGTGGCACACGCCTTTAATCCCAACACTTGGGAGGCAGAGGCAGGTGATCTCTGTGAGGCCATCCTGGTCTACAGAGTGAATTCCAGGACAGCCAAGGCTGTTACACAGAAAAACCCTGTCTCAAAAAACAAACAAAAAATGTTGCAAAAATAGTACAAGGGGGGTGGGAATATAGTTCAGTGGTACAGAGCTTGCCAAGCAAGCATGAGGCCCTAGGCTCAATTCCTAACTTTGCAAAAAGCATACACCTGAGAGTGGGTTGACATGCACAATGCAAGGAACTCCTAATATCAACAGAAATGCTGTAATAACCCAATTTAAAAGTGAGCAATTAACCTACACTTGATCTCAGCCAAAAGGCTAAGAAGCGATAGCAATAAACCTAATCAGACATTTCCTAAAAGAAGATATGTAAATTGGTCAATCATCATAAAAAAAAGATGTCCTACATCACTGGTTATTAAGGAAGTACAAATGAAAACCACAGCGAGGTGTTAAATGCTCATATCACAAAGACAAAAGAGAAGGAGCACTGGTGAGGGAGTGGGGAGAAGGGAATCCTTGCCTGTCATTGGTCAGGATATAATTAACAATGCCACCCTGAAGTACTCTGGAGATTCCTCAAAAGGTATGCATTTTGTATAATTCAGCAATCTCACTGGTAGGTATGTATCAAAAGAAATGCAGTCTGGCATGTTGAAGAGACATCTTCTTTCCCATGTTCAGTCCTGCACTATTCACAAGAACCCCAAAGTAGATGCAGCCTGGGTGTCCATCACCTGACAAGGAGGCAAAGAAAATGTGGACCATACACACAACAGAATGCTACTCGGCTAACCAAATGATGAAATCCTGGCATTTGCAATAACAAAAAATAAAACTAAACAAAGGCTAGGAATGTAGCTGCACAGTGGAATGCTGGTCTAATATCTACAGGGCCCTGAATTCCAGCCCCGGCACTACAGAAAAAAAAAAAAAAAAAAAACAAGAACTGGAGCTACAGAGGTTGCCCAGTGGTTAGGGGCACTAGCAGCTGTTACAGAAGACCTAGGTTCAGCTCCCAGCACCCATTTCAGGCAGTTCACACCGCCTATTAACCCCAGTTCCAGGAAATCTGACATCCTCTTCTGAACTCTGCGGGCACCTGCACATATGTGGTACACAGATATACACATAATGATAAATAAATAAGTCTTTTTAAAAAATTGTTAGCTGGATGTAGTGGTATAAATCTTTAACTCTAGCACCCAGGAGGCAGGGACAGGTGAATCTGTGAGTTCAGGCCAGCCTGACCTACATGGTAACTAACTACCAGGCCAGTAGAGTTACATAGTGAGACCCTGTCTGAGAGAGAGAGAGAGACAGAGACAGAGACA